CTCTCGTTGCTGGGACAAATACCCGACACCCAAATTGAAGGAAGGAAAGGTTTATTTAGCTCACAGTTACTGGAGGTTTCAGTCCACACTCAGCTGGCTCCAACGCAGAGCAGCACATAGCAGGAAGCACCCTTTCATGGTGGAGGCAAAGAGCAAGAGCTCAAGGGAGGGGTAGCAGCAGCTCAAGCAGTAGCTTCTCTTCCCTCCTTACATTGTAATGCAAATTACCTGCCCCAGGCAGGTGCAGCAACCACACCCACAGTAATCATTCACAAACTCCAGAAGCCACCCTAAGACTACAGGAGGCTTTGGGGGGACACCTAGACACCATAACACCATCACGGTCTGAAATACTTAAAAATGTTTACTTGTACATGTTTGCAGGATATAATGATTACCTTCACCATGGGAGCATGATGCCAGTGTATAACACTTATTTATACTGAGACTCAAACTCAACGACTGCACCCATGAGCTATATCCCTGGCCTCCATAACACAGTTTAATTCCTCTTAATTTCCCTTCCCTTCCTTCACCTCCCTTCTCCCCCATCTCCCTCCTCTATCTCTTGGTTCCCTTCTCATATCCAACAGTTCTAATTCCCTGTTTTCTATTATGTTTCTTCTCTTTAAATTATTTATACTTCCCCTGTCAAATTTTGGGTGAATGGTAAGGACAGATTCCCATTCATATTTTTGGAAATTTTTACAACTACTACTGTGAAACAAATGAATAAATTAATTTAGTATATGTTTGGAGGTTCCACTTTCTGTTTTCTTTGTGCTCAGTAATATTAGTCTTTGTTTCTTTTTCTTTCTTTTCTTTTCTTTTTTTTTTTTTTTGGTGGAACTGGGGATTGAACTCAGACCCTTTCGCTTGCCACGGAAACACTTATTCCACTGAGCCATCTCCCCGGCCCCTGTCTTTAGCAAAAAATAGAGTAACATTTAAGTTAACCTTAAGACTTGCAAACAGTTGAAAAATCAGAGGGAAGAAGTCTTTTAAGCAGTAAAAACAGATGTAATGTAATGTCTCGACTAAAACCTGTGCCCTTTGATAAGGTCAAGAAGTCGGTATCTAGTTCCTTGGATTATTGTAGGTTTGAAGTAGCAAATTTAGCACTTCTGCACTGTAAGTGGTGGATGGGATATGAAAGCCCTTACAAATAGACCCAAATGCTTAGCACAGCCATTGGGGTTCTCTGTTAGCCAGACAGAGGGGACCCTCTTAGCCTCATTGGTTCCCCAGTGGCATCTCTGCTTTTACAGCCAGGTACAAAGATCAGAGTCCATAATGGTCACCTGGGAAGATCTAACCACATCTGTGTCATGTCTTATAAGAAATTCAGAGAAGCTGGAGAGATTTTTATCTGGTAAAAATAAATGTTTGGGTCCAGACATGCATAAAACTCCTAAATTTGGAAAGTTTACTTGCATGAGTTTATTATTTTCAAAGCATCTCCTCTGCTCCAGGTATTCTAGGTGTTGGGATACTTTTAAAATTCTGCAGACTGCCTGCCTCGTGGGCTGCCTTAAGGGGTCAGATGTGGCTCACGTGGTGCAGAGTGACAGCAGGCTAGATTTTGCTCTGGGAGGACAGGGCATGTTGTAATACCAGGTTTGCAGCCGATTAAGGAATACAGTGTAGGTCCCCAGCCAAAGGGACGTTGGCGTGTTCAAGCCTTGTGCAGCATAAAGGAGGCCAACAGCAGGAATGAGCTTGGCATGCTCCATTCTTCCTGAAATTCTCCAGAGAGGAGGGCAGCTCAACTCATTTCTCTTCCCTTTAGAAAGTCCAAGAGGGGAAATAATGGGACGGAGGAGCGCGCAGTGCTGGGAGAATTTATAAACCTGATGAGGGCACTTAGAAACTTTACAATCTGCAGGATGTTACCTTTTCTTTGCTTTCAGTTTGTTTTTCTTTTCCATCTGTGAAACAGGCCCAGTGTACGGCCTAATCTGTGAGTTCATAGTAATCGTTGTATGAAGTAACTGCCGTGAAGGGCTTGATGATGCAGCTCTTGGCTGTGGAAATGGCAGTGATGGTGATTGTGACCTCCTTTTGGGTCTTCCTGCTTGCCTTGTGCTGTGACATTATTGCCCAGGTGTTGTGTGGCACTAGTCATCCCCTCATAGTTCTAGTTTTTTATTTTTTATTAGCCTCTGTTTTCTTCACATAAACTTGCACTGTGCTTCATGGCTCCCGTTGGTATCCCCTCTCTGCCTTCTTTTCTAAGTGTCACCCCCTTGACTCTTCACTTCAGCCACTCTGGCTTTTTCTCCCCCCGTCCTGCTCCCACTGTTCCTGCTCTCTCCTGCTGTCTAGCTAAGTTCGTTGTGTTCCTTGGATGGGTTGGGTAGATGGGTCCCTCACTGTCCTGGGCCTAGGTTTTTCAGATTCTTCCAACTCCCCTTTTGCGAATCCGTGTGTGGTCTTCTGCATTTGGGCTTTCAGCTGCAGAAGAGCAAGAACTAGGTCCTCCTTTGTTCTGCTCCATGTGTAGTATAAAGTACCCAGGTCTTTAGCTGGCATTGCCTGAATACTTACTTGGAAATGAACAAATGGGTGGGTCCAATATTTGTAGCAGTGAGGGCCCCAGCTCTTACCTTGCCCAGTATGTAAATTCCTTTGGGACAGCCTAAGCTCTGCCTGAAAACCTAGTGACAGGAAGCTGCTCATTAGGTGATCATTGATTCTTTTGAACAAATCATTGTTTAAACCTATTTCATGATATATGTCTTTTGTAAGAAAGTGACTGTACACCATTTAAAATGCTTTAGTGTGATCCCTCCCCTGAAAATACCCCATAAGATAAAGGTGGTGTTATTCTCATTACTGTTTTAACTTAATGTTGAATTTGATTATTAGTTGCAATACACATTTAATTTTCTATTAAAAAAGAATGATATATTTGTGTTTGTTTGTTTGTTTATTTATTTATATTGGCACTCTTGGCAATTTTTGTCCACAACTGAGAAATAAAACACATGTCAATTTTTTTTTAATTTCTGTCTTAAGTGGGTCCATGTATATATGTTCATATGCATATATATGCATGTGCATGTGGATGTATGTATTCAGTTTCTTCCTAATGGGGAATGGGAGAAAAGGAGTCTAACTGGGAAACATCCAGTTTTCCATTAGATCTCATTTGTTATGCATTTATCCTTCGCAATTACGTTTGAACTGCAGAATCTGGCAGGCCTCATTAGAAGGCATTTGAGGATAACTGTTCTTTTTGGATCCTAGCCATTTACAGTATTTGAAAACAAAGAACAAAACAAAGAAAATGAGGTTATTTTATTGAATGTTTATAGTTTTGGGAAAGAGCAGTTAAAAAAGGAATCTTTCATTGGTTCATGGTTTGAGATTACCAAGTTTTCTCAACCTTTAATTTTGAGTATTTGAAAACCACCATGAGGTTTTTTTGTGTTTAATTCTTTGCAAGACAGTGGAATGTAAATAGACAGAATAGCGAAACCTAGATGACCTTAGAATAATGTTAAAAGGGACAGGAATATTTAATGAGTTCATCTGCTTTACACCCTAGGTCGCAATGCAATTGTGGACTCGGGCTGAATCACACGTGCTAGTCTTAGCTCTTTCTCAGGAGAATTCATATTTAATCATATAGGTTTCAGAACTGCTAAAACCTCTTAATAATGTTATGCATGTTGAACAATAGTAGTGATGTTGACTTCATAATAGTAACAAGAGAGGCAGTGGGAAAATGTTGGGTTTTGGAGGTGGCCAGATGTGGCCACCTACACTGGCTGGCCGTGGGCTGTCTTCCAGCTCCTGCTAATAGCAGCTAACATTTATTGAGTGCTGACCAGGTGCCAAGCACTGCACTAGGTGATTTAGATAAGTTATCTCACTTAGCTTGGAGGACAATAGTGGTATCTCCACTTTATACATTTCAGACGTTAGGTGACTTGCCAAGTTTGTGTAGTTCCCAGTGGAGTGGAGTTGTAGTCTTGGTGTCTGCAGTTAAAGCCCAGTCTTTTTCCAGCTGTTCTTGCCTGGATGTTTTTAATTTTTGAGTTGGTAGCTTTGTCATTACTTCTAACTCCAGGATTTCATTGTTGCATATAATTCTAATGTGTTAATTAAATGAAATATAAAGATGCATGTTGAGTATTTTCAGGAAGTTTAAAACACTGGCTCTTAATAGGTCTAAGAACATAAACCTGCAAGTGGTTGTTTGTAGTGTGTGTGTGCGCATTCATGGGTGGTGTGTGGGGTGTGTGTGTGTGTGTGTGTGTGTGTGTTACTAGAGGTTGATCCCAGCTCCTTGTGCATGCTAAGGTTGTACTCTGTGGCTGAGCTAGACTCCAGCTATCAATGCTAGAAAAAGAACATGGATCTCCCTCCCTCCCTCCCTCCCTCCCTCCCTCTCTCTTTCTTTCTTTCATCGGATCCATAGTGGTCCTCCTGTCTCAGCTTTCCCAGCACTGGGATTATAGGCATGCACCACGCCTGTGCGGCATACCCAGCGTTCTTGGGCTGGCAAGGCATGCCATGCCAGGGATCAAACCCAGGTCCTTGTGCTTGCCAGGCAGGCACTCAGACAGGAGTTATCTCCCCAGCTCAGAATGAGGATTTTTAGACCTACTCTTCATGAGGTTTTTAATAAGACACGGGTCTGTTGTCCATTTACTCACTATAGCTGATGGCTTAGTTGGTGATCAGAGATTAGTTTAAAGTTTCATCAGGAGTTGTCAACAACTTCAGTCCTGGTTATGACGCTTGAGGCTCCACAAACAACAATGAGAACAACCTCAAAATGTTTTTAGCTGAACCATGTTCCCTTTGCAAACTGTTTCTTAATAGAACACTCATAATCCAAAATTCTAAATATCATTTATTCAAATAGTACTAATTTTCTTTTTTCCTTTAGTTGGGATGAGGGGTAATGGAGTTTGAGTAACTTGGTACCATGTGAGGTTTTTTTAAAGAGAAAAAACAATGAAAATGATGGCACAAAATTTCAACATAACATAGATTAACAAGGGTTATTATAACGCATATTGTTATCTTCAAAGTAGTTGCTCAGCTTACAAGATATAGGCATGAAAAATTGATCAGATAGTATAAGTACAAACTGTGGCTTTCAATGAATGAATAGAAATTAGTAGTGTGATTATTCTAGCTATCTTGTGTGTGCAGGTACATAGATGCCCTAACGATTTTAATTTTTCTCATATATCTTTAAGGTGACTCTTAAGGGGGAATTTCATCTCTCTCCTTTACCAGGTTGGTCCTGGTTTCTAAAACCTTAGGTTGGAATCGTGTGCAGATGAAATGTGTCTACCAGGCTTCCTCCCATCAAACCCTGCCTCAGATTTTGAAGTTAAAAAAGAACGAAAAAAAAAAAAAAAAGAATGAACCTCATAAAATACTCTTTCCTCATGTCGGTCTGGTAGGTTAAAAGAAAAAAGAAATAATAAAACACTCCACCCTTGACCCCTGGCCACCCCCTGCCTGGCAGTGGAATTTATAAGAGCTTGGGTGACGTAAAGGGTTAAACTCTTGTCCCAGGGTGGTTCTGTCAATAGTATGGAAACTGCAGGAAGGTAAAATAACTGACCTTGAGCTGGAATAATAGACTAGCAGAAAGGTGCAGAGGTGGTGGGGAGTCAGAAGTCACCCCTGACAGTAAGTAAAGTTGCACATCAGGTTGGCCTCCCAGTCTTGGCGGAGGCAGGCTGGCGAGCAGATCCCTTGCTGGGTCCTTGTTCTCAGCATTTGGGCTGCGTAGTTACCTCTGCAAAATGAGATTAAAGAGAAAGATGCCACTGTATTTGATTTGATAATCACTACAGGTCAAGTGAATTCCAGTCTGTATCCGACTACTGTATTAATCTCCAAAATGGATTCTGGTGTTCTTTCAAAGAATCAAATGAAAATCTGCCCTTGTGTTTGATGAACTCAAAAGAAGCATTACTTTATATCTGAAGCAGTTGCGTTAGTAATGGACCCATGCCAGGTACTTTGAAGCGTCCATCCCTGGTAAGCGACGCCAATTAGCCTTATACCTGAAGTAGTTGACAGTCTAAAAAATGTAGATCAAATGATTGAATCGGTCTTTCTGTGAGAATCTTAACTGCTATTTAAAATTGGTGAGATTTAGAAATAAGATAAAGTTTTTCATGGTGCTTTAATGCTGCAGCATGATAATTGTGTGTGGTAATAAGGACGGCGTAGAGGGGATTAGAAGTTTTAGTCACTGCTAATAGCAGTTTTTTAAAAAAAAAAAAACCCACAGCAGGTTCAGCTATGTGGAGAAGGATTATAGTGGAAGCCCAGCTTAACTCATAAGGGGCTTATTAAGGATTAGCAAACTGGGACCTCATCAGATAAGAAACGCAGGTGTATTCGCGGGGCTGGTTTACCACGTGCCGCCCGATACCTGTCACGAGAGGTGCACGGACACCGAACAGAGAAATTTCTACTGTACCTTTAAGCATTCCATGTATTGCTAGATGGTGCTTTTAGGTGGCTTTTATTTGCTTTAGAATTTTTTTTTTTCTTTTTGGTATCAGGAGTTGAACTCGGGGCCTTGCATCTGCTGGTCAGGTACTGCATCTCTGAGCTGCGTGCCAGTCCCTGGGAGGCTTTTCTACTAAGGAAATAACTGGATGCATTTCCCTGTGCTTTTCTCCGTTCCCTTCCTTTGCCTTATTCACACAAAACATCTCCAGTTCCTCCATTTGGTCACGAAGCTGATGCTTTCAGAAAAGTTTTATTTGGTCCTTCCTAGAATCTTTGTCCTTGGGATTCTAAATGCTGGACCTGTAGCCATTCAACATGACATAGAAGGCCAGGGATATAGCTCAGCCACATAAGGACCTAGCAAGCGCAAGGTCCCGAGTTTGACTCCTGGTTCAAAAAAAAAAAAAAAAAGTTTCCCTTGGGGCTGGGGAGATAGCTCGGCAGTCTAAGCATACACATAGCAAGCACAAGGCCCCAGGTTCAATCCCAGGTCCTGCATGCTGTGCCACCCCAGGACCCTGGGTGTGCTGTGGCAGCCACCAAAACCAGGTGGTGCACACCTCTAATCCTAGTGCTGGGGAGGCCGAGACAGGAGGATCACTAGGAGCCTGAGCTGTGTAGGGAGACCCTGTACCAAATTAATTAATTAATTAATTTTAAAATATATAGTACATGATTTTCCTCACCTTAATATTTAGTTTGTTTGAAATTTCAGTCTTAGGAGTTAAAGTGAAAAGAGCCCAATGGAATTTGTACTTCTGGTTTTTCTGACACAGCTATTTCCCTTTGAGTCATTTTCTCAAAAGAGTTAAAGGTCCTTGTACCTCAGTGATGTACAAACGCCCATGTGTGTAGCAGTTCAGTTCATAGCAGCCAGTAATGCCCATCAGTAGGTGAGCGGATTGAAAAGTGTGGTGTTTATACACACTGGAACACAGCTGTGTCATACAAAGGGATGAACTGAGTCATTTGTAGGCAAATGTAATTCCTGTGAGACTATAACAAGTGATGTAATTCAGATGCAAAAGCTTAAATAGGACATTATTTCTCTTATATGAAAAACTATGCATATATTGAATAAAATGTAGGAAAGAAAAGAGCAGAAGGAATTATAATCTAGTGCAGACAGGTGTATCTAAAAGTACCTTAATACAATGGCTTACATGGTCTATTAGTCTGGTTTTTTATCTCTGTATATGATAACTAACTTTATAAGATCCCATAAGATGAAGGAATCTTACACTTGAAAATTAAAAGAGGGATAAAAAGTGGGGAAAGAAGAGACTTGAAACGTGTCATTTATTTTAAAAGTTATCTACTAAACTATTCACTTTAAATTTTTTAACTGCTGATGGTCTCTAGTCTTGGAAAATGCATGTCTTACAGAAAGCGGTAACCGTAACCCTAATCACAGCACGAACACACAGAAGCATCAGTCATGCGTATATTTGCGTCCTTTACAGTGCTGGGAATGGAACCCAGAGCCTCGTGGTTGCTAGGCAAGCGGCCTACCACTGAGCCACGCCCCTTAGCAGCATTAGTTATCAAGTCCAAATCGCTACAAAATCAGTGGATTGAATCTAGGTCTGTGTTTTACTTTAGTCTTTGTGTATCTTGAGCCGAGCGTGAGCTGTTGCTTCCCATGTCCTTGACACTGTAGGCTCCTTGCTTCCCCTGGAATATGCCCTCAGAGACAGCAGAGTCAGGACCAAAATCTAATCCACCCGCCAAAAATGTGCCGGCCGTGGCTCTCGGGCAGGTTGAGCACTCATCAGAACAAAATTGTTTTGATTAACTCATTGCTATTTGAAATCATTACACAAAAAGCATCCAGGTCTTTGCCTTCTGCAGTCACGATTCTAAGTTAAAACCCTCTTGCCCTCACTGTTAGACACTCTAAATGTTCAAGTCCAATTTTCTGTACAGCTTGAGTACTTACGAGAAAAGCACAGATTGATTTCACTGTCTCGAGGCACCTCAGAGTTTTCCCACCAGGAAAATCATCAGCTGTTAAAGTAATTCTTACCAAGTGTTGATAATGGCTTGGTAGGGTCTTATGTGTAATAGATTTCTTATAAATGTTTATTGGGTTAAACAGAGATCTTTCTGAAATACTGTATGATGTTGCTCATCTTGTGCCTCTGTTCCATGCACCAGGAGCTGTGATTCTTTGTGTGTGTGTGCATGTGTGTGTGTGTGCATGTGTGCGTGTGCATGCGTGCATGTGTTATTACTTATGGTTATAGTACTAGTTTGACCTGTTGTGCTGTGCAGAAAACCAGCAGGGCCCTCAAGTACTCTTCGGATCAGATCAGACAGCTGGGCCTTCCCTGGAGACCTCAGGCTCCAGACCCCTCGTGGCTGTCACTGCATTCCTTCCTGCGAGTAGTTCAGTTCCTTGACACCTATCGTTATAGGTGAGACCGTCTTAGGCAACCGCTTTTTGCCCAGACCTACTGCAAACTATGGTAAGCCCGCGAAAGACAAGTCCGAAGCAGAAGCAGAAACTTCCACGGAATTCAGTAAGTGACTGTGTGAACATGGTGTTTCCTGCTCAGAGACTGCTGTGCGTGGCCACATTGGCTTTCCTTCGGGAATGTCTGGATTATAGATATGAATTATTGTCCTAAACCTCAGATACTTTCTCTTGACTTATAAAACTACGTAGATGTATTAAAATGGATGTGCGCCTGTCTGACAGTGGCATCTGAGCTGAGGGTCGCTTTGAGCTGCTTGCTGCCTCAGGGACGAATTTAGGAAGTCAGTCCTATAGCGGAAGTCATCAAGACCAAAATCAAGAGCTACAAGACTTGCCCCTTTTGACAGTGGCGTCCCCAGTCAGTACCAGTCCAGGAACTGCTAGCAGAACTACCTGGACTATCACCTCTGCCAGAAGGCAGTGACTGACCAAAGGCGGTGATAGGTCTGTCTGCGAGTGGTACCAACAAGCGTACAAGTCCCTGTGTCCCGTATCCTGGGTCACAGCCTGGGACGACCGCTGAGCTGAAGTCACATTTCCTGGCAAGATCTGAAGTGACTCCACCTGTTTCTCTGTCCTCTGCTCATCTCCCAGTAGTAAAGGGGGACCTGGATGCATGGTGCTCCATCCCTGGGACCCTGAATCATGACTTCACTCACAATAAAAACTCAGTGGAAAAGTGTAAAAAAAAAAAATGGATGTGTACTTGTGCATCATGCAGGTGTACCTTTTTAAATTAAAAAGGTTTTCCCAGTGGGAAACACTCCAGCAGGGGTGTTATTGAAAATGTCTTTGGTGATTGGAAGCACATACATATCACATGTCAACCAGCTCCTGCCACCCGCACTCATCTGGCCTCCAGAGAGGTTTGGTTTGGCTTCCATATTCTTTGATTTATTTTTAGTTAAATTGGCCCCTTACTCTTCAGGTGGAGGTATCTCTGGTTCTTCGGGGCTGGGGAGGTGGAGTGGGACAGTCTGGTGTGACAAAGCCCTGATTGACTTGGGCAGATGCGTCCCTTGCAGGTGCCTGTCTTCTGACTGCTACGCTTGCCCCGTATCCTTGGGCCGCTGTGCACAGAGGCCAGGGTTGGCCGCTGTTGGACGGTGGACCTGCCCGGGGTGTC